GCAGCATCTTTTCAGAATTACCTGCCAAGAGATGTACTTTTCCTTAGGAGAGAGTGGCTGCTTTTCCTTAGGAGAGAATATTCCCAGTTCAAGCGAGGTGGCAGCAATAGCTTGTGTCACCCAGGAGAGAGCGCTGCCTCCCCAGAAAGGATCCTGTTCTGGGTAGAAGACAAATCGGAAAACGTGTTTGAAAAAGAAAAATATAAGATGCCTTCTTCCTCCTCCACCAGGATTTTTTTTTTCCCCTGGCAACAAAATAGAGCAAAAAGTGGAAACAAATCCCAGTTTCCCAGAAGTGGAAGCTCAGCAGCCAAGGTCACACATGAGTGTAGAAACTCCTGAGGGTGCAGCCAGGAGCAGAGCTGCTGCCTAGGACTGCCAGCCTTGCACATTGGAAGTGTGAGGATCAAAATAAAATACTGAACCCAGCTTTAAAGGGGGTGTGGCCTTAAAAAACATACAAAGGTTAAAGAATTTGAAATGGTAGAGGAAAATCAATAATTTGAGATGATTTGTTACTCAAATAGTGGGTTATTTCTGACTAATAAGTAGTTAATAGCATCTCCTACTGAAGCTGAAAAGTATTATTGATTGAGGAAAAAGTGAGTCTCCAAATCCCCCACAACGCCACATTTCTTGTGAGTTACTAGACAGAACTAATATTAAAAATAGGAGGATGTTTTCTACACATGACATGGCACAAAACACCCTCCCAGCTGTATATGCAAATCTCTATTGAGAGGAATCTGGAGTCTGGTAATAGCTTAGTCTTAATGGTAATTGCTTTCTTGGGTGAAGAACTGCTTAGGAAAAGAGTAATGAGGAGAAAAAAACCCAAAACTATATCCGCACAATTGGATATCTTGAATTTGTTTCTTTGGAGTCTGTGTGCAGCCGAGTCCATGGTGTGGCCTGCGCACCCTGCTGTGGACAGGGGCAGTCTGTTGAGGTCCAGCCCTCGGGACTCACTGCAGGTTCGCGGTGCGGACACGAGCACAGAGGTGCCCGAGCGAGGGGTGGCCAGGGCGGCTGCGGGCGTTTGGCCGGGACCTGGGCTCCTCCTGGGCGCCTCAGACCCTTCCCAGAAGCTGCAGCTCCCCTTGGCTTCCTCTTGCCCAGCACGTGGCTCTGAGCCGCCCGCTCGCAGGGTCCCCGCTCTCCCTGGATGGGGGACGCAGGAGGGCAGCCCTGGCACTCCCGTTGGGCTGCCCTTCCCCGGCAGCATCGCAGCAGCTGCCCCAGTTTCCTCTCGAGGCGACTGCTGTGCCAGCGAAATCACAGGAGGTGGCTTCTCTGGGCACCAGGTCACAGATCTCCCTCTGTAATAGCCTTGAGGTCAGAGAGCAGCAAAAGCAAACTGGAGGCAGAGCTAGCGCTGATTGTAACAAAACCAGAACAATGTGCACCCACCTACTTTCCTGTTTCTCGCCCCCATGTACCAGTATTGCGGTGTTTTCACTTGTTTCGTTGGCCTGAGTGAACAAGGGCGTTGAAGCAGATGCCTAGACAGTAGTAATGTCCTTGTAGCCTGTCCTTGATACCGACGGGGTTGCTGTAGCCCTTCAAGGCTGCTGTGCTGTTTTGTAGACATGCTGCTCGGTTGGTACCCAGGGAGGCAGTTTCTCAGCTGCCCCCATTGCAGGAGGGATCCTTGTTTTAGAAATGCCAATGGCCTAACGAGAACCAGAGCGGTTCCCTGAACTGGGACAGCAGCAAACAGTTCTTTCAGTCTTGTGACATGCCACATCAGGAGCAAAGTTCTTTCCAAACTAAGTCTTCTTACTCCTCTTATCTACATTGGACCTTGGATTTTTTTTCTTTCACCTGATGGAATTTAGATGAAGCAATATATCTTGCCCCTGGACACGGTTCTGCTGTGACCACAAGGAGCTAGTCAATAATTAATATTACCACCTAAACATACCCTGGTAGCTTGCATAGGTGCGCAGTAAGATTTGAGTTCACACTGCAGATAGTGCACACCAATTAATTTCTCTATCTCAGTGTTTATTCTGGCTCAAAATGCTTTCCCTTGGTTGAGGTTATATGATTTGAAATAAGATATGATGTGATGACGTCTGCCGTCAGCACAGAGGAAAGTAGCCCTTGCAGGTCTCCGTCTTACAGGAAGCCTCTTGGAGGTTTAACAAATCAGCGAGCTCCTGGCTTGTACTGTCCTGGCCCCACCACATCACCTTCTTTCAATACTATCTGTGCATAGCTTTTTAAGTTTTATAAGCTGAGTATAAAAGGCAGATTTACATACACACGCCTGGTTCAGCCAAGCAGAGTTCATGCTGCAGGTTTTTCTCCTTTCCCTATTTTCATTATGTGTGCACAGGGAACCATGTGGGCAGAAAGAGTAGTTATTTTACATGCAAATAGAAAGGTGTCATTACCTGCACATACAGAGGGTGATGTTCTGTCATCACTTACCTGCCTGAGGAAACGTGCAATACCCTCCTCTTACGCGAGAAGAAGTTAATGATCCAGTGTGCAGACAAACGGAGCTATCGTTCGTGTTTGTGTAGACGAAGGAGTGAGGTCAGAGCAGTGAGGTTACCACTTGGTCATGGAGCCCCAGCCAAGCAGCTCTATTACAGCTGCCCATAAATGACTCTTTTTCGTAGAAGACAGAACTCAACCATCTATAATAGAAGTGAGCAATCAGGGTATTTTAATCTACGTTAAAAATAAGAATATTTGTCCCAAACTTCTGTCTGGAATTCAACTAGTTACACAAGGCATAACCTTGCTGATAACTAATATTTTTGTTACAATGACTTAAACAAAGTTACTGATTACTTATCTCAAGTTTACACTGGCTTCCATTCTAGTACAGGAAAAATTAAAGCTGTTCTGAAATGGCCTGTTGCATCTGGATTTGTGCTGTACGGAGTGGGTTATATAAAGCAAAATTACTCCTCTGCAGAAACCAGCATAACACACAAGTCCTGGTTGCCTTACTCAGCTTGCAGCTTCTCCTCGGGGGCTGTGACGGTGTCTGCGTGGCCGGGCTGCTGCAGGGCCTGTGTTGCCTGCGCCAAAGGGTCTTTGAGGTCCCGGGGAGCTGCTAAACCAAACCAAAGAGCTGATGCCGGAGGCCTGGGCCGGGCGCTGCCTCCCGGGCAGCTGCGAAGCGCGCGCGGCGGGGCTGCCGAGGCAGGGGAAGCAGCCCAGGGTCTCCTGTGCGCATTTGCTAAGGGTATAGAGAATTACTTGTGCAACTCTAAATTAGTGACTCTATAACATTACCTTATAAAATATGGTAATAGCTGAACTGTAATTGAGTGTTTATTTATGCCTATTGCAGTTGGAAGATTCAGCAGGTAACTGGTTGAAATCTAGTGGCAGCAGAACTCTAGTTTCAGGGAAACAGGAGTCTGTGCACTTCTGGTCAGGCACTTTCTGCTGAGTCCATGGTCTTGTTGCAGAAAACACTTACGTGGCTGCTTTGCTTCATAGACCTGAAGCAGGCAGCATTTTTTAAGCACCTAGACACTGGTGCACGGAAAGATTAAGTGCCTTCTCAAAAGTCTTAAACTAAACCAGAAGCAAAGAATGCAATGCAGACTTTCCTAGGCTCTGAGGAGGCCAAGTGGTGTTGACTTGGCAGCTCTTAGGCAGGGAACAGAAATATCCTCTGAGCAGGCTAAAATTGAGAGCTGGCGCACTTGGCTCGTAGGTGCCCTGCGAGCAGGGAGCTGTCAGCCTGGCCGGCCTTCTGTGCGGAGCAGCAAGACTCAGGTCTTCATTGCTCAGCAAGAGAGGGAGCTGCAGAGCCACCCTCACTGTCCTTCCTTAGCCATGTCCACCTTCGCCCTCCTGCCTGGGCTCCGCCTGTCTCTAGCAACAGAGCAGCACGGCCCCTAACGCTTTCCATTACCTACTGATTCCCCACTGTGTCTATCTTCCTGCCTTCTGCTGCTTGATATTCCCGCGCCCGTCAGGAGATGTTGCTCGGTTGCATGGCCCCTTTTTCCTGTTCCTTGTCGGAGCTGCCCAGCCCTTGGTGGGCAGTGCAGGCAGCCGCTGTAAGGAAGCAGTTTGTCAGCAGGATTAGCTCTGCTTCCTGCTCCCTCTTCCTGGTTCCTGTCAGTTTAATTGATTTTCTGTAATACTCAAGAGACATAACAGAAATACCAGAGTGGCGACTAATAGCGCTTTTTTGCCATGCAGAATATATTTTTCCATGCTTACAAACAGCTCTAGGCTCAACTCTGCTTAGCCACAGCAAACAGCTAAGCCTGTGAAAACATCAAACTTTTGGAACAATTAATGATACAGTGTGCCAGGCTTCTGCTGCTTTCTGATGCTGCAATTAGACTTCTCTGTCTGTGGTGAACTGTCTGCACAGTAGTCATGTCCAATACTCGTAAATCATAAGGGTGTCTTATGAGAGGACTTGTCAGTCTTGTCCCAAGTCCTACAGAGCTGTTTTGTCAATGCCAAGGGTTAATACTCTGATCTCATACTACTTTGTACAGGCATGAACAAAAGGTTTCACAGATATTTTAAACAAATAGCGCTTTTTAATATGAGTCATTTGTTCCCTACTAACAACTATCTCCACAAATTTATACAAGTCAAATCTTCCTTAGATTTTAACCTTTACCTTTGAAATAAACTGCCTTCCGAAAGACACTTGAGTTGCCCCACCCTATCTGAGCAAAGATGTCTTTCAGCGTGTGGACATGTTCAGCAGTAACTTACAACTTCCCTAATTTACTTCCCTAGATTTCAACCCCCACTACCCTCAGCTTCTCTCTGTGCTCTTTTACTGGTGTTTCCCCTTTTCAGCTGAGGTACCTAGGTCAGTGGTGGGGCAGCCCTCTCCTTCGTTACACACACAAGATACTGTAGTCCTGAAATGGAAGCACTGCACGGAGCGCCGTCAGAGCAGAGCCCAGGAGCACTCACAGAGCTGCTGATAAATCAGTCACTACATATTGTATCACAAAAGAATTTTATACAAGTTTTTAATAAAAAAATTCAACAAAAATATATATAATCAGGCATTTTATGCAATGCATACATTCTTTGTATCTGCAGGTACAGATAAATAACAGAAGGCAAAAACAAGTATTTTGCTTATCTTTGGCCAATAATCAATAATCACCCCCATACAGATATCACAGGGTCAGAGAATAATGAACCGAGTCTGTAAACTTCTCTCTCTTTACAGACACAGCATCAGGCAATAATACAGTAGTTGGATTTTAGAAATGTAAGGAAATACTTCTTTAACACTGCCCAACACTGAAATTTAACTTTTTTGTTGATACAAAACTTAAGGCCTTTTTAGCTGTTACTCAGGCAACATTCTTGGATTTACAGAAGATAAAATCCATTCCTTACCTCAGCCTACGTCCCTTCACCATACATTGCTCTAGAAAGCTACGCGGTACCTTTTCATGAAATAAAATAAACCTACAGTTTATTTCATACTGATACTACAGTATCAGTTTCCTGAATCCCAACCAATGTACATACATACAGAGAAGTTAAGCTTCCTTAAGTCAATATTTTTTTCTAACTCAGTGTCCCAGAATAATAGCTATCCTTCCACTTTACAGCACAGATGCATCTGATTGCTCTACAAAAGCAATATATACATGATACACATTAAAAAAATCATAAAAGCAAATTTTTAAAGGTACATTGATAACACATAGCAGCTTATGTCTATGTATGTACATGTTTTCACAGTTATATCTTAGGAAATTGAGAACATCAGGAATACTTCTACTGTGTTTTCTATAAATATTAAAAACTTGTCAGGCATTTTTACAAAATAGTATTTGGGCTATCCATTAAATAGCTCTTGAAAACCTGTAGAATTTTAAGCTTAAAGGCTGTAAAGTTTGAGGATTCTTTAAAGTGTTTAGCCAGTTTCAGCAGCTGGGGCACCTGCCAGTTACTTTTTTCCTCCCTTGTATTTATATCTGGTAACAAAGGAACTCCACCATTTTTGAGGGGATAGGTAAGTTCTTGACTAGGCTGGTGGGCATCACTCTTCGAATTGCCATGCGACACAGGTGCTGGAGGCTGGAAACTTGTTTGGGGGTTGCCCAGAAATACACACTGCCATCCTGCGTCCTGCCAAACAGAACCAGAGACCCAGAGTTATCCCACCAGAATGATTTCGGTTTGCTATATATATATTTGCTAGTTAAAAAGAATATGCAGGAATATGCTCTGAACTGCCCATTGCTTAGTTCTAGAGGATTCCAGACTAATTTAGAGCAGAAGCCAGTTCTTATTTTAAGTTACAGTAGCACAATAAAAGCAAGTTGCTAGAATCATATGGTAGCGATCATCTATGCAAGAGGCCTGAGCAGATCTTCCAACAGCTACTTGGTTACTTCCAACACCCAAGGCAGAATAGCTCCCTCCAATTATCTAGTGGGCTCTGCAAATTCATAGGTTTGTGGGCTTGTTTGCTTATTTATTCTCAGTGATAAGAAAGGAGTTTTATCAGCTTCTAGATTTTACTGCTACTCCAGGAATGTTTAAACAAATAGTACAAGAGGTAAAACAAATTCAAAAGCATCAAGTTGAAAGTCACAATTAAGATTTTTAGTCAACTTTTCTCAAGGTTTGTCTGATATTAAGATTTTGATTGGGGGGGGGGAGGATACTTGCCCTGCAGCTAGAACGCTGCCATCAGTAGAAAAGGTGCAGCAGAGCCCATTGTTCAACGGTGCCACTTGCACGGGGTAATCTTCATCGATCCTCCAGAACCGCACCATTCTGCAAAGGGAAGAGCCAAGGGGTCTCACAGCAGCCATTCAATTCTGCTACTTATTGTACAGCACTAGAGGAAAAACTGGTCTGAAGCAGAACTCAAAGGTTTAATGAAAAGTAACAGATTTATCTTTACAGCTTATCTTTTAGTAAGTGACACACACGCTAGGCAATCCTAATAATGCTTGTTTTAAATTAAAAATAAATAAACCCTAAAACCTTTTAAATAGTTTAATACCCGCATGATCATCTTGAGAAACCACCTCCTACTGTATGGTTTTTCAACACAGGATTTGCAGACATTAAATACCAGATCACAGAGTAATTTTCATATTACTTTGGAATCTAAAACTACATAAAAGACTTTACTGCATCATTAGCTCCAATTACATTCGTCACTTTTTACAAGCCCTATTTTTCTTTTTTCAATTACAATTAACATTATTCAGATTACAGTACATAACTGTGTTAGAATGAATGAATGCTAGCACAGACCAGACAACTCATCTACTTTTACCAAGCCCATCAGAAGTAATTTCTTAGTTGGGATGAAGGAAGGTGACCTAGTATTTAAAAGCTGATGTCATAAGGGAAGAATTAAAGTAGTCTAACAAATCTTTCCTCATACTTACTTATCATCAGCAAGGCTTGCAATATGTAGTCCATCGTGACTGAAAGATACAGATCTGACCCATCGGTCATTTGCTCCTCCAGCAAATATTGGAGTAGGAGGGGGAAACAGATGCCTGGAGACAGACACACACATAACTAACAGTGTAATGGTTATGGACTATGCAGGAGTTTCTTTTAGGCATGATTAGCAATAGTGAGGAAATAAAAATGGATTTAAAGTTTAAGTGTAATCAGACCCAGAGGTTGAACTACAGTATCTTTTGTAGTGATGAACACATGAGCTTTATTGAAGAGGCTTAACTTAGTACACTTGGAAGTGTACTTTAAATTACTTGTCAGACAAAAGAAAAAAATTGCACTGTTCTACCACTGTTCTATCAGCCACTACTTAAGATTTTTCCCAGATCTAGTTATCAGTTCATTACAAACATAGTAAGTTTTAATTATCTTCATTCCAGGAGAAAAAGTTTCCAGACTTGACTGCTTACCCGAATTCCATAAGAATAACTCCAATATGTGGATCCCAGACATAAACTCGAGTATCGTAAGATGCAGTAGCCAGTAAAGCTCCGTCAGGAGAAAACTCACAGGCTACAACATCATTGTGATGTCCTTCGAGTTTCCGTATCATGGAGTATTTATCCATATCCCAGAGAAAAACCTGCAATTAAAAAAACTAATGTTATAGCTCTGCTCAGAGATGCAATGACATATTTACATTTTTTTAAGTATAGCCGCTAGTCTTATTTAGGATAATATTAAAATCAGGCATTATGAATTACTACAATTAAGAAATATGCTCAGTGTCATACTTGGATTAAAATCAAATTTTAAAAAAAATAATTAAAGCAGACATGCAAATTCTAACTCAAGTTTGTTAAATGTTATTAACAAAATAAGCCAAAATATAAGATAAAGGCAACACAATTTAAGCATATAGCTTACTGAAATTGATATATTACAAAACTATTTTATTAAAATATGCAGAAATAAATAGGGTTAAATGCTACAGTCCCCTCTTTTCAGTAACTACTATAATTTTAAGAAATATACAGACAGAAAATGTAAGGTTAACATATTGTTACTCCAGTGGCATCCCCTTTAAGATCACTTGTTTACAATTGGCTTGGATCACCAACGTCAGCCTAGGAAGAGAAACAGATACTGCAAGCAAAGAGAATTTTCACAGCCAAAAGTTATGTCTTTGGCAAAACAACAGGGAAGTATAACCACATTATTAGAAAGTATTTATGCATTTTAAATTAACAATAAAACATTAAAATTTACCCAGTTTATTGCATACTATAAAAATTGATGAAAGATAAATAGTATTTTGGAATTTTACATGCAGTTGTACATTACGTGTAGTGAAAGTGAAGACTGCAGAATAACATAACAGGAAAGAGCTATGTACTGCAGCTTGATTTTATAGAAAATGCAAGTTTTTCATTTAAAATATTATGTCCCTGAAAAAGTTCTTTAAGGTCCTTGATTTATCCCCAACTCAAGTTTTACTGCACAGATTAAGAACTGATATCTTAAGTAAACAAATATTTTTGATCAAAGCAAACAGAGCCTTAGTGCCTCACATACGCCCTAAAACTGAACTATTTTATTACTGATTATAAATAGGTTGATCAGTTTGACCCCAACATTCCATAAAACTGGAAACTAAGTTTTAGGAGTCAGTGTGTTTCACTGCTGTGAAAATTTTAAAAAAAATGATAATAATAAAAGAAAGACAGAAAGCAGAAAGTGGACATCAACCAGCACCTGCGTACGTACAGTACACCTTGCAGTCGAATGCAAGGTTACTTCATCCTATGGTAAAGTTCGCCCCCAGCCTGGTAGCCAGAGATGCCACTCTTTCTGCCCAGCTGGCACCACTGTGCTGCTGTGTGAGCGGTGCCAGCTTAACCTCAATCACACCAATATTGCTGCCACCACCTGTGACAGGGAAAGCAAGAAGCTTATGGAAAACACACAGCCTAAAGATAGCAAGATATACATCCACATCTGCTCTATATAAAGGAAAAACAAAACCCAGCCCTCAACTGTTCTCTATCAGTTCCACACTGATAACTTACTCTAACGTAAAAATACAAAATGCATTTGAATAGTCATCCTTACTAGTATTACTAATATCCTTACTTAGTATTCAGTGTTATATTAATTGTGCTTCTAATCAGCACCACTTGCCTTTGTTAAACTTCAAGGAAAAAAAAGAGTGAATTCCCTACTCTACTATAATACTGACTCTTCAGTGCCAAGAAAAGCAGCTTACTGTATATGTGCTTTACCTGCACTGCTTTCAGTTCTCTGGCAGGACATCAGAATACAGAAAAAAGCAAAACACAACAAAACAGTATGCTGTTCTTCCTTCTAGATCTTTAGACACAAGAGTGCCTTTTATATTGGAGAACACGTAGAAACATTTTTATTCAGCAGGACATACCATGAGTGGCACAGACTTTGAAAAGTCCTTTTCATTGAGCAGGAAATAGAAAGGATAAAATCAATAGCAAAATAGTTGTAAACATTAATCTAAGCATCTTTTAACACTGAAAGCTTTAGTCATCTTTTTATACTATATACATGTGCAGAACTAATTCTCAAGAAATGCTTCAAGTTTCTTAAACTAAAAGCAGTGCAAGTTCAATTCATAAATCAGTGTCTCTGCACCATGTGCTAGTTTTATTTCATGCACTTTTATATCATCATAAAACATTAGAAGTTCATGACACCGAGCACAAGCTTAATATTACTTAGATTTAAAATGATTATGCACACAATTCAGTAGATTAAGTGAACAAGAAACTCTGACACATACTGCTTTATTAGCTCCAACAGAGCAGAGAATGGAAGAGTCTGGAGAGAATGCACAGCCATATACCCAGTTCTGGTGTCCTCTTAGAACTTTCATCATATTTCCTAAAAAGAAAGGTATTTCTGTAAGAGTTGGTTAAAGATTCCCAGTCGAATATGAACAGCTTTTCCAATTAGTTTTTCCTTTATGAAATTTCATTATTCTTTACCAAGTGACATCTTGCAGTGTTACTCTGCACTCAAAAGGTTACCTGTCATGCAGCCTCCAAACTTCTGTCCCTCTTCAAAAAGGAGGCTTCACACAGTCTCAACCCACTGCCAACCTGCTCTCTTAGGGCACCCATAAAGCATTTCAAGGGAACATATAAAGCAAGTGACTAAGAAAAGGAAAATATTTTAAACTAATGTAGACCCAACCAAGTTTACTACTAGAGGACTATATATTCATATTTCTCCTAGGTATTACAACGAATGAATTCAAATGCATACCATCATCTTTGAGGTCCCACACTCGCAGTGTTTTGTCTCTTGATGCAGACACTAAAATCAAGCTGCCATCTGGAGCAAAGGTTAAATCTCTAACAACTTCTGTATGGTCCATCAGGTTAAGGAGGAGCTTTCCTGTTACATGAAAACATCCCAGTTTAAAATTAAAGATTATAGAGTAGCCTTTTATTCCAATTAAATCCCTTACTAAAGTCAAAAAGAAATCACAAGAAATTTTGAGCATAGGCAGAATACTGCGCATCTTTGTTGGCTCTTCTTCACTGAAGAGCAATTTCCTTTGAAACTTTTTACACCAGTCTATATACTAGGATCAGATGCCTGACAAGTGAAGCAAGACTTGTCTTTCAATACACAACTGCACGCTGAGCTTCATTTTTAAGATAAAACAGATTACTTGGTAGTCATACATTTTATCCCACATATGTTTCAGCTAACTTACCGGACTCCCTGGTTTCAGATTCATTCCCTTACCACTTGAGCAATATTTATCTTTTTAAAAAATAGAAGGCTCTCGTCAACATGATTTCCTCATGCTCAACAACTGAAAGCAAGTTCCTGTTTCAAAAGTTGCCTTTATTTGAAAATAACTTAAAACTCTGACCCAGCAGAAAGTTTTAGAGTAAGCACCTGGTATACCAGAAGTCAATCACATACTTAAGCATTTGCAGCAACAAGACTTTATTATCCATCAATTATACCTCAGAGATAGTGACCCCTGCCTATAGCTTTTTGAACACTATTTGAACACTTCTCACTGCAGGAGTTCATGCTGTTTTTGGACTACTTAGTTTGCATTCAAGTTCAATTCCTAATTAAAATTCTGTAATATTCTATGGATTAATTATGTTACTACTACATTAAGTGACAGGGAAGCACAAAGTTTCCCTCGCACACTTTACCTGTATATACATCCCATATCTTGATGCGCCCATTGTTCAAGCCTGTTGCAAGGAGGAGCTGGTCCTGCCCAAATTTGAAACGATGCCATTCTATATTTACACAGCGGCTCTGCTTTTCAGGCACCGAAGACCCAAACGCAAGACTCCAGACTATATCACCACAGTCTATGATATGTTCACAGGGCTTGTTTTTCTGACTGCTATCACTGTTCTGTCTTGAAAGTCTTAAACTGATTGAATTTGCCACATTCTTTGTGCCATGCAACAAGCTGTAAAACAAAAACAGTTTACAAAGTAGTTTTAAATATAAAAACAAATGGTGCTATATCATGCAGCACAATAGAATAAAAAGGTCTTTTTAAAGATGGAAATCTATAGGTTAGTATGAGATACATTTTGGAGGCCCATAATGAAGCATTTACACATTCAAATTATAAGCCATTTTCTCACAACTGTCAGAAGAGTTATTCTTCTGACCATTCTTCTGAATGGTCTCTTTGAAGACCATTAACTTAACCTACTTTGACAAACAACATTTTGGGAGTATTTACACATGAAATTTTTTATAAAAAAAAAATGAAATAAAAACAAAGACTTTCTTCTAAATGAGCAGGAGATTCCCTGAAATTCACCTTCATGATGCATTAAAAACTGGGAAGAGACACTGTAGCCAGCACAGGAAAACCTACTTCCACCCCAAGGAGAAAACAGGGAAATTTGCTGTAATGAGCAACATAAGTATCTAGCTACAAATATGGGACTGTAAGTTACCAACCTCATTAAAATGTAATCTACAAGTGAAAATAAGGTGAGCCTTTAGGAAGGCAACTGGTATCAGAGAAAGAAAGGAAGTGAACAGCTTTCCCATCAAATAAATTCCTTCAAGTTGGAAATTCCAAGTAGCTCTTTCTGGTAAGAAACTATAAAGTTCAACTCTGTTTTACTCTTAAGTTTCTTTTTCATTCTAACTTCCTCTTACTTAGGCACCTTAATTAATTAATTAATCACTTCTAAGGCATTTGCAAGGTTACAGTCCAGTTGTTTCCCTTGCCAGTCATAGAGTCCTCTAAGATGAGGAGACAATGGCTCATGGTTCAGCTTAAGGAATTACATAATGCTATTTTCCCCAAAGACATCAAAAGGGGGGGAAAAAAAGAAAGAAAAAAAAAGCATCTCTGATTTTGACTTTCTCGAGGTTTTCAGATTAATTAAAAGCCACATGGTTTCATCTTACAAGTTATTAAGGCACTGTGCCCAGGGAACCAGCTTCACGATGCGATGCCCTTGTGACCAAGCGAAGTAGGAGCCATCGGGAGCAAAGGCAACAGTCCAGTTCTCACGTCCGCACTTCTTGTCGAAAGGAGAAGTGGGGGCTAAGAGTTCTCCCACAGTGCGCGACCGAGCTAAAGAGAAAACAAAGGGCAAATTCCATTAAAAAATAAATACGGCCTACTTTGAAATCCAACCGAGGAGGCAGATGGGGGGCTGCTTAGGCGTTTCACCACTCTGCACGCAATGCAGAGAGCAACCCTCAGGTGCAAAAGAGATTGAGCCTCTAAAATGAAGCGGTTAAAATTCCCCGTCCCGTAAGTGACAGCACCTCGTGGTGCCAGCCGCACAACTGAAATGAATTAAGGAGTTATTGCGAACGGCCGCTATTTAGCTGCAGCCCAGGCAGAGCGGCGCCTTTAGCTTGCGGCGGGGCAGTTTGCTGCTTCCAGGCGCCTGTAACGGCAGCCCCTGCAGGGCAGCGCCCGGCGAGGCCACTGCTGAGCGCGGCGGGGACCGCGCCGCTGCCCAGCGCCGCTCGAGGCGGTTCCGCGCCCGGCGCGCGGCCCTTCCTCCGCACGCGTTTCACCGCCCTGGCGGCCCCTCGCGCGGCGCCGCTCACCGATGAGCTTCTCGTTGACCCTCTCGGGAAAGCTGGCCATCGACGGAGCCGCCCCGGGACCGGCTCAGGCGCGCAGCGGAGCGGAGCGGGACGGGACGTACAGCGCGAGCGGGCGCGACGGGGCCGGGGACGCAGGCACTGCCACAAAATGGCGGCGGTGGCGCGGGGTGTAGCGCGGGGCGGAGGGAGCGGCGAGGGCGGGAAGCGCGCGGCGCCGCCCCGCCAGGCCGCCTTCCCTTCCCCTCGCCTCGCCTCGCCTCGCCGCCCGGCCTGTTGTCCCGGCCCCCAGCGCCCATGGCTCGGCGGCACCGCTGGCCCCAGCGGGGCTCCCTGTGCTCCTGGTGCTTGGCGCTGCTGCGCTCGCCATGGCCGGTGCCACCGCGGACAGGCTTCCCGTGCACTCGGCCTCTGGCTGCACAGCGAACAGTAGCCTGCCTTGTAACCCACTCTGCGTGGGCTGAGAATACATCCCAGTCCGTTTGTGCAGCACGTGAAACCCGCTGTGTAGCTGCGCTGGAGGAGAAGGGGTCCCTGGCAGCCTGAGCCAGCAGCACCTTCCAGTCCCGTCTGTGCCGCTGGGTGTTAGGGAGCTGCGTCTGCCCTGTCTGTGTCCCTGCCGCACGGGCGAGTGGCCCAGCGGCCCTCCCACGGTCACAGCCAGGGCTTCACACAGCTACCCTCACTCACACACGGTGCTCGTGCTGATAACTACACAGTCCTTGTGGGTAGAGGACCTGCCTCAGGCCTGGGAGCAGCGCTCAACGTTCCTGCCCTGCATGGAGCGCAGATCCCGGCCCTGTTATCTGCTGCCTTGTGACATCCTCCCTGTCAGTGGTTGCGGGCTCAGGGTGGTGTGAAGCAAAACACGAGTCTTGGCTGCTGTGAGGTGGGTTTGTGACTCGCACTGGGTTTTGCCTTTCCAAAACAGAGGCCAGAACCCGCTCAGGAGATTCTGTTGTCTTGTTTATTTGTTTTTATATATGTAGATATATATATGTGTGTGTGTAAAATTATGTAGTGTCTAAATACAACAAGATCTGGTTTATGGTAGAGTTTTGAACTTTTTGTTGAGTTACTGGGAATGTTCTGAAACTACTCATGGAGAAAGACACCCTGGGGCTAGCTCATTCACTGCATGGATTAACATCTTTATACTGTCCTATCTGTTCCTCTTCCTTTTCCTCTTCTCCTTTTGCATATCTGAATTCCACCCTTGTTCTAACACTAGATGACTCCTCTCTTGCTCTCTCTTTGTACTTCCAAAAAAACAGATAGCAGGATAGTTAACTGCAGTTAATATGGAATGCCTATGACCTTATCCTGGAGCGGTAGCTGTACTGAAATAGCTGTAAGTCTTGTTCTGTAGTGGCACTATCTAGAGATTGCCCTTACGTAAGCAGGGCCTAGGAAGCATTGCTAAAACCATGGGATAGAGCAGCATCAAAGCAAGGAGCAGGAAGGAGTGGGGTGGTGGTCCAAGCACTATCATGGACTCACATATGTATGAAGTCTCATTTGTATGATACTAGCACATTTTAGCACCAAATATAACTTTCTAACAGCCTGATTCTGTTGCTTTCTCAGTTCTCTCTTGTCTGCTGATGGAAAACCCTGAAACATCTGTCTTCAGTTAACCCCTCGACAGCTTCTTGCAACAAAGGAGATTTGCAGCCAGTGAACATTGTGAAATGTTGCTTTGGAGTTACTCATAAGTCGTGAATGTTTGACCCAGGGCAGCTCATCGCCGAGGTGAGTCACCGCGTGAGAGCCCTCCTGCAGCGCCGAGCTCCTCGTGCCGTGCGATGAGGCGCTGCTGTTTGCTCAACTTGAGGGGCTTGTGCAGACAGGACAGGGGACAGACAAGTTGCACAGTTTTGTATCGTGTTGCTGCCTTTCCTGATAGTGTTCTTGAAAGAAGGAAAGTCTTTGGGGATGTATTATTTCTCTAAGTGTTGCTTTAGTAGTTGTCTGTCTTCTTGGTGTGCTCTGATCATTAGTACAGTAGGTTGGAGGGCTGGAATAGATAATTAGATCTTTTAGTCTCATTTTTGTATAACATGGAATATAATATTACCTAACTTAACACATCCCCAAACAGTGAGGAACTGTAGGAGATTTGTTGCTGTTCAGCCTTTACAGCACTGGATTCCAAATGCTGGTGTGTGCCTATAGTCGTGCCCATGGTCATGCCCATGGTATGTGGTGAAGGCCGTGGTGGCAGATGGTGATATGTGAACTCCCAGGCCTTGGCGGCAGATTAGGAACAGACACTTCAGTGACTTAACCAAGCCCTTCTCCCTGTGGGCCTTGCTGCAGTGGAAGCTGCTTTGTGGCTGAAGGCAATGTGTGGAAGAGGAGGAAAGCTGCATGCTGCGTGCAGGCTGCCACATGAGCGAGCCATCCTCGTCAGCAAATGTATTAAAAAAAAAAAAAATTTAAAGCTCAGAAAATAAAAATCCACACTTGCCTTCCTCTGCACCCTTGTCACGTTTATTTTCCTGGCAAGCTAAGCAAGCTGGGCTATTTTTCGAATATCTTGCTCTCCCTGATGAGGCATAGCTGCGGGACCGGGGCGGCACCAGGCTCATACCCCACGCAGTCACATGCTGCGGGGCCCGAGTGCTGCGCCCGTGACTCACAGCTCATTTATGTGTTTTCCATTCTCCTCCTCCTGGACGTGCTGCCAAGTCTGCACAGGGCTGTTCAGCTGGGGAGCTAATAAACTCACTGCCATCCTTCTGCAACGAGACGTTACGGACTACAATGAGCTTTCATAAATGAAAAAGGACTTCCTTTATTGTCTGCCTGCTTTGAAAGTATTTTCTAAGAACCGGGTTATGTTGCTTTTTTCTAGGCTGCTAAAGCGCCAGGACCTGTTTATTTAACCTTCTTGCATACTGATGTAGTGAATCTTGATATGCACATTGCGTTTGTGTTTCCGTGTTTGAATTTTTTGATTGGTGTGCTCCATGTATTTCCCTTAATCAGCGTAGCTGAATTCTTTTTGACTTAGTTATTGCAACAGGCTGGGCAAGCTGTCTGAAGTCTGGGTGTGTGGCAAATAGCGACTCTGCTGCTTTCATAGAAATTGGTTTGAGTGCTGATCTATCCTTGCAAGCCTTTGTAATATTATATAGTTTCGGTAAAATGAATGTTTTCTTTATGCATTTCCTATATTCTAGCTTCTTGCAAGACTCTGATCAGAGGGACTTGCTGTGCTTGGTTCTATCGCTTTGCCTTCCTGCTCGAAGGTTCCCTCCGCTGAAGAGCCATTCGCCTGAGTTTTGAATTTAGACCACAGCTTCTGTGGTCCAGAAGCTGTGCAGACCTACATTTGCTTTGCATGGGCCATCGCAACGAGGTGTTCTCTCCAGGGACCACAGGGGTTATCAATTTCTGTTTGGTGTCACTGTTTGGACTGGATAAACAGGAGTTAGCCCAGCAGCGATAACTGTGTCAAGTCTATAGCGGCATGCTAGAGGAACACATGAGGCTCTTGCAGTCACACGCAAGCTGTGTCCATCCTCTTTACTGGTGCCATTTTATCAGCTACTTGTGACAAATGGCAGCTGAGGGGACGACTAAGGCCAATGACGGTAAGACCAAAGCAGCTGGTCTGTGCAATAGTGCATGTGTCTTGGTTATAATTAAAAACATGCTATTTATGGTCTACACTGTTAATAATTCACAAACTGATGTTTGTTTTGAATAGTCTCTCTGGGATTGAGAAAGTTCAGCAGGAGTTTGCGCAGGCAAAAGAGAAGGTGAATGGAAAGAGCAGAATGGAAGGGCAGAGAGGACTGAAGAGAGAGATTGCTGTGAAGGAGCCATCCTGTGGCTTGACCCATGAGAGGATGGACTAAGGGTTTGTCTCTTGGCAAAAAGCTATTTTAGAAAGCAAAGTGTTAGAAAAAACTTGCTCTACAAAAAAAAAAAAAAAAAAAAAAAAAAAAATCCCACCCGCATCCCATCCTGCTCATCCCTGTATCTTATCTGAACTCCAGACTTTTCCAGGCTAACTGAAAACTTTCCACAGAGATTATTCACTAAAAGAATTTGTATGTGCCTTAATGTCAGTCTGCAACAACCTTTCTCACTTCCAGACAATAATCAGTTAAGCAAACAGTCTATACTTTAATTCTCATGCCCTCATTTCCATCCCTCTTTCTTTAGCTGGATGTAAAAGCAACGTAGCTGAAGTGCATGAAGAGACTTGGACCTTTTTACTGAGAACACTTCATCAAGCAAGATTGCCAAGGTCCATCGTGGAAGAGTCACAGAGCTAAAATAGGAGAAAACATTAGAGTTTTTCTTCCATGAATCCCATGGTAAGGTACTGTTTTCTAAAGTGCTTTGACCACCTGAGCAGGGATATATGAAAGACAAAATGTATATTCCTTAAGACAGAAATTCACTCTTTTTATATCATTTTACAAAGTGAGTCCTTTTCTACTTGGAGTCTGAGCCTGCTGTTATAGTAGAAATTAGAACAGATTGAAGGCTCGGTTGAATGTCAAGTTATAATCACTGTTTATTGGTAGTAGTTTAGTATCTTAAAGGGTGACACTATCTGGTAAGATGGACTACACTACTTATGAACAATTCCAGCAATGCAGAAATTAGGCCAAACTGGAGTTCACTGTATTCCCCACCTTAATACATGTCAGCGTAATCTCAGATTGATAACCTCTGTTACACAGCTGTTTCCCTCCCTGGTGTTCAACACCGTTCCCCGACATGCTGCCTCTCCATGCTCCTCTTCAACCTGTGTCTCCTGAGAGCTTGGCTGCTGTGAGCATCAGCGAGTCCGAAGGCTCTTGCACTCTGTGCCGGAGGAGCGTAGGGCCTGGCAGGCTCAGGCTCTGCAGCCTTTCCATGTGCTTCCAAATGACAGTCTTTGTCACTCTGCAATGAAAAATGTAACTGAGCTGTTTTATGTTCCTTTGGTTTAAATTCCCTTGCTCTGCTCTGCAATTCTAGCCGATTATTTACAGTGGTGCAAGATGCCAACTCTCTCATTAGAACCAATGTTAAAAACTTGGCTTTGATTTAATTGGAACTGGAGAGGATACGTTGTCTTGTGGCCAAGGCACGGAACCTAGAGTAAGAAGAGCTGTCTTGTCTTTCTCAGTTTTCTATGGACTTATTAGGTGAATCTGGACAGGCCTTAAAACAAAGTTAGGTCAGTTTAGGAATAGTTACATTGTGCTTTGAGGCGAGATACTATGTCTTAGGATAATTACAAAGTATTACAATTGAATACTGAATTGTTTTGTGGGTCAGTTTCTCTTGTACCCAGTAAATTTAGAAGCTTCCTGTATGTGAGGGAAACGTACCTGAGAGAATAGTGCAAATTAAGACATAAGGCATTAAGGCAGAGACAGTCGGGCCTGGTGACATGGGGGTAATATGCTGGGAAGGGGGGACTTCCGCAATCATCATATGCAATTTAACTGCCTGCAGAAACAGTCCTCAGCAGAGATTGCTGCCAGCGCTTGATCGGGTTTGAACAGACATCCAGTCCTAGCCAGCTGCTGCTGAATGGGTAAGGAAGGTGTCCATGGCCTCAGTGTAGGTGCTTGGTGCCATCTCCTCCTTCCCCCAGGCAGCCTCTGCCCATGGGCAGACGTGACCCACTCTTGTTTCACTGCTGAGAGCAGCCCTCAGTGCTCTATGGTTGCTTGTTTGTGGTGCAAAGCTGCTCCCCTTCCTTCACAAAGATACCAGACTCCTAATTTATCTTTCATCTTTGGAGAGCCAAGTTCTGCCTAGCTGTGCTGATCAAACACCACTCAGCACTGCGGTGCTGTCAGACAGACAAACCCCTCGGTGCGAACATATATTTCCCTTTGACATAAGGGAGGATGATCTAACTAGCAGATGTTTTGTTCTGTATAGAGCCCTGTCTGCTACATCTAAAATAGCACTTGCTGGACTGCTCCTTCTGTCCTGCTTTTTTCCCTGCTCCTGATAAGTGCTGCGCAGTTGGATGTTCTACAGAGCCTGCTCAGGATTAGGAGCTGGGGCTGAGGACTCTAGGCCAGGCAGGGCGGAGAGGCCCCTGGCCCTGGAGGTTCTGGAGGCTCCTCCTTCGGAGCTTGCTGAGCCTGGCACGGAGTTGCAGTGGTCACTTCCCCGCTCCTCCTCTCCCCGTGGAGACCTGAGCAACAAAGGTTGGAACCTAAAGGCAAAGGTCCATTAATAACCAGAGGTCAAAGCCATGTTTAGGGCAGGGTATGCCTCATAGAAATGGGTTAATTGAGCTGCTTCTTTGCAATAAATTTTATTCATTCTTATAAACGTTGTATTCTGCAGACTACCTCTAGAGCTCTTTGTCTGGACAACCTCACTTCTACAGACACGTGCTGTGATGATTTAAGGAAGAGCTGGCTGTATTGGGCCCTTCACGGTCTAGTTCTGGCTCCCCCATCAGATCTCTGCTCTATCCACATTTCTGTCATGTGGACACTTGAGCTGTGTCCAGGTTTCTGCCTGTTGTTTGACAACTTATCTAGATCTGCATAAATCTGAGTGTTAGCCTAGGGACAGCTTTCTGTGGCTGCAAGTAAAACTGTAATAATTATAACAATACAGATTCCTAGTGCAAATAGAGCTGTAATGATGTAAAAATTAACTAAAACTAACCTTATGTTAGTACTGCTTATTTGTCTAAATTAAAGGAATAAGCTCTGGTAATACAGGTACATTTATGCTATTTATCTGTTAAAAACAAAAGGTTTTATTTCTTTATTTGCTTCTGAGCAGATGTGGAAACAATAACAAAAAAAAAAAAGTAGAAGCAACAAAGCTGTGATTGCTGTGATTTATTTTCCTACATTACTTTTTTTTTTTTCCTACTGAAATGTCATATCTGGTTTTGCGATCAACCAGATGGGGTCACTTCAATCAATCTGACTGCTTTTAAGGCAAGGCTCTGCTCTCTGCATTAGGGTAAGTGCACGTTGTTTGTGAGAGCCCTTCCATCTCTGGCTTCCTGGAGGTCTGGCACAGAGGAGCAGTTCTGTAGCTGGAGTACTGAGGAGTGGCTGGATGGGATTAGGTGCCTCCTTGCTCCAGCAGCCTATGGGAAAGGAAAAGCTCAGTTCTGCCATGGGGTCTTCCCAGGCAGCTGGTGCAAGCAGTGTAGTGGGCAGTGTATGTAAAGGTTTAATTTCAAGTTTGACTAGTATCTGCCAGCTCATGCTATGTAGAGATGTTGCTGAAAAGGGACTGAAAAGATTTCTAGCTGTTGCATTTCTTATATTCCTCCTGAATCCACAAGTTTTATATAGTGTAAATAAGTCTCAACAATAGCAATAGGCTTCCCACTAAAGCACAGTAGGACTTAGGGGAGCCCCACTTACCTCTTTGCTAGACATTTGGTTTTGATGGCCATAAGCAGGGCCTGATGTGCTCAGAAGTGCAGATGGGCACCTTGGCTGCAGAGCAGATGTAATTACAGCTGAACATCCTGTCCCACAGCAGCTGTTTGCTGCCTCTGCCCTTTTGTGAATGGGCTGTTTACTAGAGTTTTGAACTGGAAAAGGCTGTTAAATAAAGACACAGGAAAGAGGAAGTATTCTTGCAAGACCTGAACTTTAAGCCCTGATTCGGACACGCACCGGAGGTACGTGCATGTTCTAATTCAGGAACATAATGTAAATTATAAATGTGCTTTAAATGTGCTGTAAATTCTGCTTTTCAGTCAGGCATCCGATACTGTAATAATGATAACTTTATGCTCCGACAAAAAGGAAATAATTATATTAAAGATTGGCCTCCATGGGGAGGCTCCCCATGGCTTCGACTACTGGTTGTTATAATTACTTTATAGATTAGTATAGCAATTTAGACTGAAAATCAAGCATTTATAGATTTTGTAATTAACAAATTTTGCATGAGATACTCTCTAGAAGAGTTTTCTTGTTATTCTGGCACCCTGGTCTAACACTTCAGTTTAAGAGCTGTTTTATTCCTGCTGAGGCTGACAGGGGTCACGCACTGCATGCTGCACTGTATTGGTGCTGGATATCCTGAGATCTTCCTAGCTGGTACTAAGTAACTAGTCAAACTCGCTGGCACTTATCACTTGCTAAATGGCAATATAATAGTTATATAATATCATGGAATTTCAATATCATGGAATCAAGGATAGATTGTGGTTTGTTACTAAAGCAATTAGATTGTGTTGCAGTTCCACAGAATTGGTTAATCACTTGTCTTTTGTTGGGTACGATCAGCATTCCGGTCCAAAGCTATTAATGGCCCTCATTGATCACGGGAGGTGTCTGATGAGCGAGGTGTTTGTTGGTCGCTTGTGCAGGGGGTGTCTGCGGAGGCCAGGCCGGGGCCGTGGGCCGCAGAGGAGCCGTGGCCAGGCCGGTATGGGCCGCAGTGGGAGCAGGGCCGCGCGGCTCGGCCCTCTCTGCCGCCTGCGCTCCTGTCAGCGCTCCTGGAAGCCTCGTGGTGCCATCCTGCCGGAGACCGGCCCCGTGTTGGAATGAGGACAGGGTCCTTCCTCCACTCTGATGCACGTATTCTGGGGAAATTGTGAAGAAAATGAATGAGTCCAGCAGTCTCCTGGATGTCCAGAGCTGTAGCCCCTGCAAGAGGAGAAGGCTTCCTCACCGTACTGCACGCAGAGACGAGTTTTACTTCAGCTGGGCAGTGTTTGCTCTGCAGCTCATATGACTGGATAGGTGCTTAATGTTATGTCACAGCATCATGTGGTGGCTCCTGGTCATGCCCTGATGCACCAGCATGTGGTACAAACATCCTGGGTCACCACACGTGGTTACGGTGCAGTTAGAAGGCTGGTAGTGGGGTTTTTAGTCATTTCAAGAGAGTTTTAAGCCAGGACACTTGGATACCAGTGGCAGTGAGACCATGACCCTGAAGCCTTTGCATCAGGTTCCAGTTTGGCTGCCGTGTTCTTGTGCCACTTGTCCTGGTTTTGTAATGCTGAGAACATCGAATGGTTTATGATAGTGCTGCAATGCATGTTACAGCCTTCCTGCAATTACACCCACTATTACAATGAAGATGTATCGGCCAACAGAGAGCCTTCTATTTTGCAGGATATAGCGCAGACCTATAAAAACTAGAGCTATTGCATGAAATCAGACTAGAGGCTCTCTGTCTCTTCTGGCCTATCCTCAGTGAGAGAGAGGAAGGAAGAAATAAAGAAGGAAATGAGACTCAAAAAGGAAACTTGCAGTCCTGGAATCTTTCCGTTTTTTTTTTTTTTTTTTTTTTTTCCCTGAGAAATTGATGTTATTGCTCAAGTAGCTGAAGTTATTTGCACTGTGGAATCACTGCTCTAACACAGGCTTTTCTGAATTTCCCTCCCAGTTCAAGAACCACATCTTGATTTGCTATTTAGCTGCATCCTTTGTGTTACAAAGTAGCCCTCTGCATTACTTTGTAACACGTAGACATCTATAGATGATGTTGCTAGGTAGGATGATAATATGAGAATAGGTCTTGATGATGTAGTACCTCTTATTATATAACAATTATTAGGAAATGAGTACAAATACTTTTTGATGCTATATTACACAAATTAACAGTGATTAAACTCTACTAACTAGTGTTTATCTGCTCTTACACAGCAAGGTTCCAAGCTTACATTCTTCTAGAGACCTTTCAGCTGTTCTCGGAGGATGGGATGCAGAGCCACCTTACCTAACAGGAAAAGCACTGAACTGTGAGTCAGGAGACTAGCATGTACTCGTGGCTATGTTACTGACTTGCTGTGTGAGCAATGAATTAATCATCTCAACTTTCGGTGCTTCTGTTTGCCCTTTCATCTTTTGCTTCTTTTAGTTTGTAAGGTCACAAGGGGAAGGATTTGCACTGCATGCAGCATAAAGGGCTCCTGATCTCAGCAGGACATCCATGCATTGCATGCTCAATGCAAACAAGATGTTGCTCATTGAAGAGCTGCGTTCCCAACGTAGTTATAAGTGTGATGAGCTGCCACGTGGAAGCTGGGGAGACAGAAGCTCATATGGGTCTAGTTCACGTCTGTGAATCTTCTAATGTTTAAGCTGCAATTGAAATCTTTCAATGCTAATGTGACAAACCCCACTCTGCTCCACAAAAAAAGCTCAATCAATATCCTTTTGGTCTACATTTGAGCCTTATACTGGCATGATTATGTAAGGAAAGGGTGTATTAAAAAAAAAAAAAATCGGAGTGCCAGTGAAAGCTCTGTAAAAGACAGCTCTGTAGTGCTCTGTACACAGGATGTGTAATAGTTTGGTTTTCTGGAATAGGAATACATTTTAATACTAGTATAACTATTTCTGCACATTGGAAGAGAAGATGAATTGTTCCCTTTAATTCTGCCAACTTAATGAAGCAAAGTATTCAAAGTATTTTTTGAGAGTAATTCCATTACAGAGTTGATGGGGAGGAAGCTGATGTGTTTCAGGGATGTGACAGGAGAAGGCATCTGAGACTTCATTTTCTGTCCTTTCTGACTGAGTGAGGAAATATTTTTCCCTCCTGCCTTCTCTCTCCTTTCAGAGCTGGCTTTTCCTGTCGGGCGGCATACTCTGGGAAGATTTTGGCATTTTTCCCTGCCCTTGGCAGCAATGGAATGTTTTCTTCCTATTTCTCAATCTCTGTTGTGATTGCAAGCAAGGCAGAGGTGGTGTCTTTGTTTCACTGTTGCTTTTAAGTCACATGATGGTGTTTTGGAAATTTGTGGATCTGCAGTACTGCACAATTACCCTTGGGGGGGGGGCAAAAAAAAAAAAGGGAGGGGGAGGGTCAGGTTCTGATTTAAGGCAACAGAAGCTACTGGTGACCAGGAGTTGGAGTCTCCAATATTCACATTGTCCACGTGAAAAAATAACTTTGTTTAAAAAAATAAATAAAATAAAAAGCCCTGCACCTTGGTTTGTATACCAGCCAGGAGTGTATCAGGAACAGGTGAGCAGAAACCCTCTTCACAAGAGCACGGTGGCCTTGAGATCTTCCCCAGCGCTCAGTGTGCTGCTCCTTTAAGATTTAAGAACAATTAAGTGCCCAGAAGTAGGAAAGCAGGAAACGAACAGCTCATCATGTCCATAGATCCTTCCTACTATCTTTCATTCTATACAGAAGAAAAGATGGGGGGAAGTGATACCACACTGCACTGCGCTTTGCTTCCTGGAGTCCACTAAAGTAGGTTTAAAGGACTCCATCAGTAGGAAACAGTTATTATTTTAGATTGAGGTCTTGACATTGTTCCCAATGAGGTCACAGTTTGCCATTGATAAAAGCATTGCACAAACAGACAAATAGAGCAATGCCTTCAAAGACAGCAGCAAAAATAGAATGACTGGTTGCTTAGCAAATATCTGCAAATTTAGCAAATATCATTTATCATCTATCATGCCGGTAAAGGATTACCCTCAATTCTAATTAATCTCAATGGAGTTAAAAGTTACCGTCCTATTTTTCTCTTCTTGTTACAGATTTTCAAATAGTAATATTGTTATTTCAATGTCCTAGAGGTAATTTACAGTAAGCTTCACTCTCAATTTTCAGCTCCATTTAACAGCACCTCTCCAACTCTGCATCTGAGGACTCCGTGCTGTTCAGCATTATTTGGAAACCCAGCAAAGTAAATTGTGTTGTATCTGCACGGCAGTGCAGTGCATCATCAGTTCAAGCTGCTTGATGTGTATTTCTTTTTTTTTTTTCTTTTTTTTTTTTTTTTAAACTTTTTTATTTTAGAAGGGCTTGTGTGGGTTAAGCAGCAGTAGAAATTAAATAGGGCAGCATAAGCTAGAAGGATGACTCACTGGAAGGAAATAAAGCAGCAGTTGGTAAAAACCGTTCAGTGACAGAGCCTTTATATTCATAAACTCATACAAGCTAGCATCAGGCTTACAAAAAAAAAAAAAAAGTGTAGGAAGCACAGAACTGAATGCAAATCTTGGCATCCTCCCGTTCTTAGAGCCTTATCCTCCTGGTAGACACTTTGTTCCTGCGTCTCCTCGCAGGACACCTGGTTGTTTAAGGAAGGAAGGAGGAGACCCAGGCTGCCCTCACAGATGGGCCGATCCAAGGGCGTTTTTACATGCAGCACAAATATCTGACTGTGCTTGAATTAAAATAATAGTACAAATAGAGCAATGTTAAGCTTATGCAGATCTTGGTTAAAGCACTGACTCGTGTCTGTGGAAGTAAATAACTGATATCTGGCAGTGACCGTTCTGTCGTTCCTGGATTGTGAGGAGAGCGAAGCCACTGGGCACTGCGTTAAAACAGACGCGCTGGAGTGAGGTGCAGATGTCACCAAATCCACATCCAGCCTTGGAGACCATGTGCTTATCATATCAACTCAGTTGACCTAAATGAGGAATAATTCCAATGAGGGAGCTGGGGAACCAAGACTACTTTCTCCATGGACCTGTCTAAGCAGTTGCCGTGTCCCAAGGCACAGGACACGGCCGAAACAAGGGAGGTGTGTGACTTTGGTCGTGAAAAGGAGAGGACTGTACGGTAGTCACCCAAAGCCTTGGGCAGAGGGAAATGTCCAACCTGCAGGAAGCACAAGCAATATGGGATAGAAATATAGATTAAGAACATGATGAATAATGCCAGCACAACCAGAAGGAGACAGTTTGTGGTGTTTATAGTAGCAGCTACAGTGAAGAGTTAATGAGGAGACAATCTGCACCTTTGCAGTGGTGCAGCTGGTATCTTTAAAATAGTCTTGATTTGTTTAAAAGGAGAAAAAATAATGCTTGAACGTTTCCATGTAATTAGGAGTTAGAGCATAATCAGTCTGCCTGGAAGACAGAATCTAATGAGGACGTGTTGCAGCGGAGGAGCACAGAGTGCTAGCGAATGCTCTGCAACTCCTGCTGTCTTTTTGTCCCTCCTGCTCTGATCCAAATGGTGTCTAGACCTCCTCACAGCTTTCTCTGTGAGTAAAAACTCTGACCCTGTCTGTGAGATCATCCAGGGAGGAGGCCAGAACATGTCAGTGAGTACTGAAGTCACGAGGTCTGTCTGGGATTGCTTTCCTCTAGACTCTCTTACTGCTTTGACTCCAGCTGCATGATAAACAAGAACAGAGAATTCAGAGAGAGGAAGAGATAACCTTGAATTGTCCTTTGGGGCACTGTGATGGTCTGGACAGACCTGATTAGTCATCCAGAACTCTTTTTTTTTTTTTTTTTTTTTTTTTTTTTTATATATACTTAGGTGCCATAAGTCCTACAAATAACTAATTTCTGGTGAAGGCATTGCTTGATGGGGAAAGAACTAGATACATAAAATGATCTAATTTCCGTGGCGTTTTTAGAACATATGCAGAAAATACTTTGCTCTGTTAATTTCCTTTAGAATATCTGGGCTCTTACTATGATGTTTTGGGAACTTGGTATTACTTTAAGTCAGAGAACTTTAGTCCATGATACCTACTGGAGTTTCACATCCCAGTTTCCAGAAATGCAATTTTCAATTACAAGAGGATTTATTTGTCTTCAGACTGTAGCATTTATATAGGCTGTGTGAAACAATTTGCTTTAGTAATGCCCCTAAATCCGTGTGGCCCTTGTGCTGAATAGACTTTCTAGGACAAAAAAAAATCCAGTGAGAATATTTTGTATAGAATCTCTTAACTTCTCTAGAGTATAATCAATCATTCTGTGATTACCATTAGTTAGCTCATTTGTTTGCTATTCATGTTTAACAGATCCTAATTCAGTCAGGGAGAAAGTGGGAGACAGGGAATAATACAGCAAATACATGTTCTAAAATCTAAGAACCTAAATAGCAGAGAAAGGATGTGAAACTCCCACAGTTTATCGGAGAAAAATAGAGAGAACTGTCTCTTTTCCTCTAGATGGATCAAACTTCAGCGATTTCAGTGGCCTGTAATGCCCTCTAATGGAGGAGTCTGTTGGAGCAGCGCCCTGTGAGAAGCCCTCGAGCAAAGGGACGGAAAGAATCAAGTGTCCAGATGGAGGAGCAGCCGCAGCCCTGCCAGGTACACGGTGCGGCCCCCTGTTTCAGGGAGGCAGAGCCTAGAGTGTTAAGTCACCTCTTACTAAAAACTCGGCAAATACGTTCCTTCCTTGCCTTCCTTGCCTTCCTTGCCTTCCTTGCCTTCCTTGCCTTCCTTGCCTTCCTTGCCTTCCTTGCCTTCCTTGCCTTCCTTGCCTTC